AAGAGCTTAAACTATAATCTGACTCTATCTATTTGATGTCATTTAACAATTGCAAAGCAAAGGATGACAGTACATGAAGTCCACAATTGTACATCTTTATAAGCTTCCATGGGTATTGAGGGTTGGAAGTCTTGATATGGACCTATAAAAACTATAAGTTGCACAATCAAAGGCGAACACTCATAGAGTCATCACCTTTGATAGATCAAGCACTAGATTTTTAGTGGAAAAAATGCAACATCCGGGAGAAGTTCAACCCGTTGGGAGATTTACAGTAAAGCTGGATGAGATATGGTGTGATTATGGTAAGTTCTAGAAAGTTCATATCCCTTGCTCGCATGTACTTGCTTCATGCTTACATGCACGCCACAACTTTGAAAGCTACATATCTCCCATATATACCTATAACAAGTTGCAAAGGTATACGAATGTCAATTTAGAGAGCGTTGACACGAAGATTATTAGCCTACTTATACTGACCCAACTTTGTGGCCAAATCCGGAACTCAAGAGAACTTCTAAGGGTCAGCCCAAGTCTAGCAGGATTAGAACAGAGATGAACATTAAAGAACAACATAATCGCGTAAAAAATTGTTCCTATTGTCATACATTTGGTCATACTAGGAAGACATGTCCAAATATTGGTCATACATTTAGTTCTTGCCATCATTAATTTTTTTTGTTGTAATGGGTTTTAAGTTTGATAAATGTAATTGTTTAATTTTAAAAATGTCATTGTAACTTCTAATTTTTTTTTTTCTATTCGTCAATTATTTTCATTCGGTATACATTTTAAATTAAAAACAATTTTAATTTTTGATAAAAAAATATATTTAATATTAACTAACTTATTAAATTTTATCAATTCTATTAAAATAATCAATTATATAAACATTAAATTATTTTCATTTTTATTTAACTTATAACTAATACTTTTCATCTTCTAACTTATAAAAATTTACATAAAAATACAATTTTTCATCTTCTAACTTATAAAAATTTACATAAAAATATAATTTTTCATCTTCTAACTTATATAAATTTACATAAAATATAAATTAATAAACATAATATTATTATTTTTCATTTATGTTTATCTTCTTAAAATATTATTTTTCATCTTCTAATATTTAATTTATATAAATAATATAAAGAAAATACATAATTATTTTTTTATTATACATTTTTTTATCATACTTAAAAAAATATTTATTTATTTCTATTATTATAAATATATGTTAATTGTAAGTATTATTAATATTTTTAAACACACACACACATATATATATATAATACATTCTAAATTATTAAATTTAATTTTTATTTCAAATAATAACTTATTAATTTTTTAATTTATTAAAATTATAACTTATTAAAATTCTAATTTATTATAAATATAACTTATT